TACAAATGTAAATTGTAAATTGTAAAAGTAACTGATGTGGGGCTGGGGATGTGGCTCAAGCGGTAGTGCGCTCGCCTGGCATGCGTGCGGCCCGGGTTCGATCCTCAGCACCACATACCAACAAAGATGTTGTGTCTGCCGAAAGACTGAAAAATAAATATCAAAATTCTCTCTCTCTCTCTCTCTCTCTTTAAAAAAAATAGTAACTGATGTACACTAAGTCAATTTCCTGGAAAAGTTTAGTTTTGAGGTTCTATTTTAGTTGTGGTCTCAATGTAGAAAAAAAATTTAACACGTGATGCTTAATCATAGACAAAATTAAATTGTATCATTTTCAACATGTAGAGCAAATTGTATAAATTTTGTGATCTAATGTAATTTGGACAAGAACAAAACAGCATTTTTTTTTTCCCTGAGCTTTTCAGATACTAATTAGGACTTGGACATTACTATTCAAGATAAGAAATTGCTTTCTGTAGCAGCAGGCTATTTGTTCCCAGATTTGTTTAAGAACTACCTGTTGTATAAACTCTTCCCTGTTTTGTTCCAACAGATTATTTTCTTCTCACTTTTTTCTACATTCGATTTACTTTAGTTATTTTATATAGAACTAAATGCTTTATTTTTGCTATTACTTAAACAGATCTTGCCTACTAGGAAAAAATGGTTAAAATACATTACTGATTTTTTTCTTTACATTTTCTACAGTGCCTGGATAATATCTTGCACTAGTACTTATATAACTTCATACATCAATTTATTTTATTCATTAACAGTAATTAGCTTTGCACATTTACCAAAAGTGTCCACTCTCCCCTTGCATTGTCCCACCTCCCCAATAATAAGCAGGTGGTATGTTCTTTATTCCTTGAGAAATCATGAGTAAGGATAAAAGCTAGGGTGATGTTTCTTGCCCTCACTTGTCAGTGTACCACCACATTCTCAGTATTTCCCCTCAAACACTGCCCCGGGGCCCACGACTTTTGCTACCATTACTCCAGTTCTCTTTGCTATGCAAATTTTTAACATAGCATTCTTCCAATCTTCCATTATTTCCTCATTTATTGAATTCCAGTTTCCAAATGATGAACTATACCAATTTTAAGGGTGCAGATTGATGATCTTTAACAAACAATATACCTCTGTAACCACTACACAATTTAGACACCTCAAATATGTTCATTATCCTCAGAGAGTGCCTCCTGGCCCACTCCCAATTTATCCCCTCATAGCCCACCCCAGCCCCAAGGCAGCTATTGACTTTTAAAAATTATTGATATAAAAATGTTGATAATATTCCATTATATGCTTTAATATCTGTAGAATTCTGCCTTCCCATCTGTCATTTTTGATGTCAATTACTCTATGTAGAGATTTATCGATTTTATTGACATTTACCAGAGTTGGTCTTTAATGTTACAGATTTTTCCTATCACTTGTATTAGCTTTTCATCATTTTTACTTTCCTTAGTTCCTTCTTTCTATTCACTGTAGGTTCAATTTCCTCCTGTTTTCTAGTTTTATAAGGCAAAAACAGAAATCACTGATTTTTAGATCATTCTTTTTCTTTCCAAAAATTTAAAATGAGTTTTCCCTCTGAACAATACTTTAGTTTCATCTCAAATTTGTAATGTTGAGTTTGCATTGTCATTTAGTTCAAAATGACTTATAATTCATTGTGTACTGTGTTGTACATGGTCTTTTTTAGCCATGTAGTATTTTATTTCAAAGTATTTATGCTTCTTCCCAGATATTATTTGTTATTGATACCATATTTAATCCTATTGAGGTCAGCAAATGTACTCTGCATAATTTCAGAGCATTTTTAATTTTTTTTTTGAGATTTGTTCAAGGCCTGACGCATAATCTACATTGAAGAATATTCCATACATAATTGCAAAAAGATCTGTATTTTATGGAGGTCTATAGACTTCTTAGTCTGTAGAGTAGGAGTGTGGATAAGAACAATAATTCCAGATTTGTCTATTTTTTTCGCTTTAATTTTTCTCAGTTTTTCCATTCCATATTTTGAAGTGCTTTCCTAGGCATATACATATTTAGGATTGTCAAAGTTATCTTTTTATTGAATTGATCAATTTATCACTATATGACTTATGTTTCTCATCACTTATATTATTTCTTGTTCTGAGTCTATACCAACTGAGATAATGTCACCACTCCAGCTTTGTGATTAGTGCTTGTATGCTCTCTTTTTTACCCATTCCTTAACTTTTAACTAATACATATATTTGTGTTTAAATTGTTTTTCTGTTTTGACAGACATTGTGTATTTGGATTTTGATCCTGTGAGAACTCTGTAGGACTGGGGATGTAGCTCAGAGGCAGGGCGGCAATGCCCTAGCATGGATTGTGTGGGGAAGCCCTGGGTTCAGTCTCCAGGACAAGAAAAAGAAGAAGGAGGAGGAGGAGGAGGAGGAGGAGGAGGAGGAGGAGAAGGAAGAGAAGAAGGAGAAGAAGAAAGATAGAAATTTGTATATTTTTATTGTTTATTTCAAATGTTTATACCATTATATGTTGTATTATTGTTGGTACATTTGGGCTAGAGCCTACAATTTATTTGGTTTTTATATATCCCTTTGGTTTAGTGTTTCTCTTTTCCTCTCTTCCAACTTTTGAATAAATTTTTTACTTTAGAAGATTCCAAATTATTTCCATAATTTTTGCTATACATCTTGTTATATTTTTGTAAAAATTCATGTTTTTATGTATGCTTGTATATTTGTTTTTTTAATATTCTAAAAAAGCAAACTTTATCATTAACTCATTGCATTGTACATTTAGATGCTATCAGACCACTTCCCGTGCAGCGAAGAACTTTACACACATGTACTCCAATATGCACCTGCTTTCCTGTGTGCTATTTTTTTTAAATCTATAGTATACTTTTACAGCTATTAACTCTATAATGCATTCTAACATTTTTGTATGGTTTTCTTTATGATTATCATTGTAATTTGTAACATTGAATATATGGGCTTGTAATTTTCATTAAATTTAAAAGTTTTCAACCACCATTTTTTTCAAAAATATTTTTTAATCCTTTCTACCACCACCTTCCATTGCTTTCTGGTCTTTAGAGACATGTATCTTTGAGCCAAAGTATTCTTTATAAATCATTGCAGTTATACTTTCTTTTTTCTACTGCTTTTTCCCTCTGTTTTTGAGAGAGAACCCATTTCTACTCATGTGTTTAAATTTATTTATCCATTATCCTACAGTGATCAAACTCTCATAATCCAATCCTACTAATTTTAGATATCATATTTCTCATGGGTTTCATTTTATACTTCCATTTCTCTGCACATTAGATTCATGCTTTTCTTTATATGGTCTGCATTGTTGTGAGGTATTTCAATATCCCTAACTGTTATTTCTGGATTTCTTTCCATTGACTAATTTTTCTCCTGGGTATTCATTAGATTTTACTGCTTCTTGGACCTTGGATGCTTTCCTGCTGTTGTGTATCTGGATATTGTTAACTTCCTTGAAAGAAAATTGAGGTTTGTTGTGGCAAGCAGTTAATTTACTTTGGTTCACTTTTATCCTTGGAGGTTTGCTTTTAAGCTTTGTTGGGATATGTGTCTATTAACCTTTAGTTTAGGGAAAGTTGAGCCCAAATACTAAAATGTGGCTTTTCTGTGGTTGTTGTTGGATATCCCAAGAAATCAATGAGGACTTTCCATTCCCGATAACTGAAATTCAAACAGCTACCAGCCCTATGGTTGCTCTGGAAGATATTTAGCTTCCAGCTTTCAGATAATTTCTTGGATTTTTTTTTTTTTTTTTTTTTGGTAAACTCTCTCCCTGCTATTCTACTGCCACACAGTTTTTTTTTTTTAATCTGCTTCAGAAAACTGCTTGATTTATTAAGATTTCTATGTTCTCCTTGAAGAACTTACTGTAATGCTTCTTGTGGTGCTGCTCTGCTAGAAAACGTGATTTCCCTTTAGATTTCAGATTTAGAAATCTACATATAAACTACATGTTAATATGATACCATATGACATAATTGATTTTTAAGATTTCTACTAGCAAAACTCTTTTGTAAAAGAAGATTAAGGATATAAATATATCTGTGGTTTACATCAATAATTACCATGTCAGTGTGACCATGCTTGAAAGACTTTGACATTTAATGTTATTTTGATAAGAAAGTCATTTTTCTGATGTATATGCAGATGAAATAAAAATTACCATCTTTTTATAGTTTGCCTCCCAAGACATGGTTGTTAAATTATATTAAGAAAAGATAAAAATAAATTGAGAGGTTTTTTAATTCAGTGAAACATATGATTACATGGTTTGATTGATAAAGTGAGAATAAATTGCTTTCTCTTGTAATATTCAAAAATTGATAATCATTGGATGATTAGCTGACAACTTTACATTTAAAATGTGCTGATTAACTTGTTTTACCTTAATTACTCTATGATAGTGACCACCTTATCTTGCCCTTTTATCTTAACATTAATGAAGTAATCATTTACTGTGGTCTCTTCCACTGTTCTGCCCAATTACTTTACTGCTGAATGGTGCTTTGCATTTTTGCTGGTCCATTAGTCCCATATCATGCTCTTTCTCAAATTCTCTATTCAACTACAAGATAATTAGATGTCATCTTTTAGCATCTTATAACCTTGACACATAAATTCCTTTTTCTCAGTGGTTCAAATTAATGAAAAACTGACAACCTACTAGAAGTTCTAGAGAGACATTATTATTTATAAAATATTAATGCACATTACATATTAATAAGAATCAATAATACTTTGCTATTATTCCATATTACTGAATGATATAGGTTATTAAATAAATATTAAGTTTTTTTTTTTAAGAAAAATAAATAGCTTTATTTTTCCTCAATATACGTTTAGAAAATTTGTGTGAGAAGAGGTTTCTTGAAATAGACCAGAGGACTATGTACAAAATCAAGAGTTTCACACCAGTAACAAAAAGTGCATGGATGAAGGTGCGGCAGCCTAGGACCTCTCCATCAGAGGGGAGGGGAGGTCTTTTGATGGTTTTGGAGTTCAGCTGAGGGATCGTGCTGATCTTCAGGAGTTTGCTGCTGGCATACTTATTCTTGATGGTGATGAATTTAGTTAAGTTTTCATTTACTTTCACCACATTTTTGGCCATGTGCTGCATGACTTCCAGTACTTCATTCTCTGTGTATCCTGTGTAATACTGATGCTTAAAGTTCCATTTTCCTTGGCCTAGAACCTTCTGAGACAAGCAGGAAGCAGCCGCAGCTACCTTAGAAGGGTGATAATGCACCATGTCATAATCAATGAGAGTCAGCTCCATCAAATATTTGGCTAATGTGTGCTGTTCAACATCAACTCCCCCAGCTTTTGATGCTCGCCTTAAAAAGTGAAGTGGCAAGGGTTGACCCAACTCAAACTTCAGTTCTTTCAAAATTAGAGTTTCCATTTCTCGGATTTGAGAACTGGTATGAGCATTGTCTGTGATGTAGACAAAGTCTTCTATATTTGGAGAAAACATCTCCTCATACTTGGAAGCCAAGAGCAGAGCTGTAATCCCAATCAACTGAAGTTTCTTATGGGAGACTGGCTGAACCTGTAAAAATCGATCCATGACAGCAATGCACATGTACAGAGTTTCCTGCAGAAGCCTAAACTTGGAGTGGACTTGAACCAGCCAGTCCATCAGGATGGCACACATACGTCCATTTATATCTCTTCCATCCAAGAAATGTGGGTTTATGGATTGCAAAACCTCAAGCTGTCTTAGATACTGGTAGATATCTTTAACATAGTCACTGCAGAGCTGAGGGTTCTCCCAATCCTCATTATCAATGTCCTCAATTTTGCAGAGCAAGGCATCAGAAAAAGCTTGGCAGAGGTTCTCTTCCTTCATGGAGATATCCTCAGGTGTGGGAGAAGGACGCTTTGGAGCCAACATTTCCATCTGTACTGGTTTCACAGAAGCAGTGGGTTTCAGTTGTTTATTGACATTTGTTGCTTTGGTGGGCTGAACTGATACTTTGGTGTTTTGAGTTTTTTACAAGGAAAATACAGGATAGATCAAGACAGTACATGTTGTCCCTCAGGTCTATACAAAATCAGCCTCTAATGCACATTTTGCCTTATGGTTGTTACCTTCACTACTTGTGCTGCTCTGGTTGTAACTCTATTTCCAATTTCTTCTAAAACCCCACGCCTGACAGTCACGACTCTTGGCTTTAGAATTAACGCCTGTGTCAATATTCTCCAAATCACTGGACACCGTCGGGTGTCAGAGCAGCGCCATGAGGGAAGAGAAAGACAAGTGTGCCAGCCCGCCCCAGGGAGGGACACGGACCAAAGCAGAATGGAGCTAGCCTCTGTGGCGCCATTGGGCCTGCACTCCAGGCCCTCACCGGTGGAACCTTCAATATTAAGCTTTTTAAAATATATTTTTTACTTGTAGTTGGACACAATACCTTCATTTTATTTATTTATTTTTACATGGTGCTGAGGATTAAACCCAGGGCCTCACACGTGCTAGGTGAGCGCTGTACCACTGAGTCACAATCCCAGACCAATATTAAGCTTTTATACTATCACTTGATTGTGTTTTTCTGAATACATACATATATATGTCATGCACTTATGCAGATAAGTATAACATAAAAGCTTTGGAAGTTAAAATTTGTTATATTATTTGCTTTCTTTCTAAAACCATATGATATATTTTTATATCATCCTTTTCTCATCTCAGTTCATGATACTTAAATTATATTTTAAATAGATAAAAATTAAGGAAGTTTCTTTTTTTCAGTGAAATATTTGATTAAATAGTTTTAATAATAAATAAAAGTAAATTCTGCTGTACTGTTTATCTCATGCACGCACACATGCGTGCGTGCATACACACACACACACACACACACACATATTATTAATGTTGGAAGAATGGTAAGGATAAGTACCTATGAAGAAATAAAAGACAATTTAAATAATGAATATAAGTTAAAGAAATAAAAAAATATTCAGTGAAGGACAAAAAGAAGAATATTGGTAGAAACCTTGAGGTGAAAGTCAATCTAAGTACGTCTGAGAACATGAAAGAAGGTAAAGAAGATATTAAGTGAGATGATGCTGGAAAATTCTGCTGAAAAGTAAAGGGAATGGGAATTTTATTTATTTAATGATTTATTTAACATCTTTAATGTTGTTATTTTGCTCTGTATTTGGGGATTTAAAAATATATAAGACATGGCCCATTACTTTAAAGATTAGTTGGGGAAGAGACACACACAAATCATGCAAAACTTGAGTGGACATGATACAGGGCTTCATTCTACAAGTGATGTGTATATGTAACTCTGGGATATACAAATATTCTCTGGGAATAGTATTTCTATACCTACTCTTTCTTGTTAATATTGAAGCATACAAATTTGCACATGTTAAAATATCTTATTTCCAAAAATGGCAATCATGTATGTTTGATCTTATCAAATTAATTACCTGGGGTTATGTCAAGGGTTGGCATATCATGCATTGTTTCTTTTCCATTTAATCATCCCTTTTACTCTTTTCAAATAAAAGGTATAGTTTATTCTCATCTAGAATCTTCTTATGACATGATTCAGGTGGAAAAAAAAAACAGAGGAATCAAATAAAGCATAATAAGAACATGTCTTGGCATCAAAATTCATAATAAGGCTTTAAAAACAAAACTTCGATATGGGCAAATAATAGTGTCAGAAATAAGATATCTTGAATCCGAAAATGCTAACCTGCATTCAGCTATGACTATGATTGGTTTGTTGACACTTTTATCAGTATAACATATCCTTGTATGTCCAATAACAGTTTTCATCAGTTTTAATTGCTTGAAATTAATAAAGGCATGCCATCTCTCTTTGGGGTCACTTTGCATAGTATATCCTTTCCATTTTTTTTTCTTACTTAAACCTATTTATCATTTTGAGCCAAATGTGTTTTCCCCTCCACTCAGTCTATTTTACTGATTTGTTTACAACATTTGTATTGATGCATTTACTGACAATATAGAATTTGTGTCTGCTATTTTGCCATTTTTCTACATACTTTGTTATTTTTTATCTTTTTCATTACTGTGTATTAAGTAGATTGTACAATACTTTAAATCTCTTCTTATTTATTTTACTACAATATTTAAAATTTTTGTTTCTGTGGTTGACTTGGGGATTATTATTATATAATTTTAAACAATAGATTTTTATTAATTTAAATAGTACACAGAAAGACTTTGACCTTTTTACTCCTTACTAGTGTCAATAGAACCATGCAAGTTATGTTGTTATATGTTGAGTCTATTTTATAAATATCACATTAAGTATTTGCTTTTAAATATCATAGGAGAGAAATACAAACTAAAGCACACTTGTACTTTCTTTTACCTGTATATTCATATTTACCAATGACCTTTATTTATTTGTGTGTATCATAATTAATTAAACTCTAAGAGATTTTTCTTTTCAGCCTGAAAATATGTGTTTCTTGTAGGGCAAGTCTTCTTCTAGCTGCTAGCAATAAATTTTCTCACTTTTGGTTTATATCAGAACATTTCAATTTCTCCTTGGTTTTTCTTTTTTAATATTTTTTTTAGTTGTCAATGAACCTTTATTTATTATATGTGTTGCTAAGAATTGAACCGAGTGCCTCACACATGCGAGGCATGCATTTTACCAGTGAGCCACAATCCTAATCTTCTCCTTTGTTTTTGAAAGATAAGATTGATGCATACTGGTTCTTAATTTACCTTCTTGTCTCTTATCACTTTCAGTACGTCATCACACTGTCTTCTTACCTATATTATTTCTGATGAGAAGTTGACTATTCAAAGATGAGAAGTTGACTGTTGAAGATTCCGTGTACTTCCTGAGTTATTTCTCAATTTTTTTATAAAAACAGATTTTACAACTATACAATGACAAAAATATAGGATAATGTGATTTTAATGTAAGTAATCATTTATTTAACATTTTATTTTTAATTGACTTAAAATTGTATAAATTATGAATTATTGTGTACATCATGACATTTTAAAGTATAGATATATTGTGGAATAACTAGATTTAGCTAATTAACACATGCTTCATGTAGTTATCATTTGTGTGATGAAAACATTTAACATCTACTAGTATTTTTCAAGAATACAGTATATTGTTATTAATTATATCATCATTTTACAATAAATCCCTGGAATTTTTCCCCATCTACCAGAAAGTTTAGTCTTTGATCAGCATCACCGACCTACCCACCCCAAATTTTCCCAATCCCTCCTTATCACCATTTTATACTCTAGTTCTGTGAGATCAACTTTCTTAGGGTTTGCCTGCCTTGAAATCAGGCAGCATCTCTTGTTAGGAAATTTATTACAAAAAAGACCAAAGAAAATGAGTGTGGGAAAGTAGGTAGAGAAAAGGGAAACCATCGGTGGGAAGGTAAATCAGAATAATCATTGTGGAGGTTACTCAAAAAATTAAAAGTAGAACTACCATAGGATTCATCAATTCCATTATTGTGTATATAGACAAAAGAAATAAAACTATTTCTTCATTATCATATTTTTTTCAGCATTATTCAGAATAGCCAAGATATGGAATAAACCTCAATATCCATCAACAGATGAATAATAGAGAAAATGTGGAAAATACACACAATGGAATGTTATTCATTCATAATAAAGGATGAAATATTTTCATTTGTGATACGATATATGAAGCCCAAGGACATTTTATTAACTTTCTTCTCTATTTTTGATTGCAAGATTTTCCTTTTAGACAGTTTGACAATACTGTGTTTGAGTATATCTCTCTATGAGGCTTACTTCTTGGAATTTTTTAAGTTTCGTGGTGGTTAATTTTTTAAATAAAACATGACAAGCTTTAGGACTTTATTTCTTGAAATATTTATTCTGTCTCTTTTCTCTTAGAGAATTTTATGTGTATGCTATTTTGCTTGGTGGTATTGTACAGGTCAATGAGGATTTTTAAATACTTCTTTTTACTTTATTTCTTTCCTTTGGATCCTCAGACCAGGTCCACATAAACGATCTATGTTCAAGTGTGTTGATTCTTTCTTCTGCTTTTTCTTTTTTCTTTATTTTTTATTTTTATTATTAGTTGTTCAAAACATTACATAGCTCTTGACATATCATATTTCATACATTTGATTCAAGTAGATTATGAACTCCCATTTTCACCCCGTATACAGATTGCAGAATCACATCAGTTACACATCCACGTTTTTACATACTGCCATACTAGTGTATGTTGTATTCTGCTGTCTTTCCTATCCTCTACTATCCCCCCTCCCCTCCCATCTTCTCTCTTTACCCCATCTACTGTAATTCATTTCTCTCCCTTGTTTTTTTTTTTTCCCTTTCCCCTCACTTCCTCTTGTATGTAATTTTGTATAACAATGAGGGTCTCCTTCCATTTCCATGCAATTTCCCTTCTCTCTCCCTTTCCCTCCCACCTCTTGTCCCTGTTTAATGTTAATCTTCTTCTCATGCTCTTCCTCCCTGCTCTGTTCTTAGATGCTCTCCTTATATCAAAGAAGACATCTGGCATTTGTTTTTTTAGGGATTGGCAAGCTTCACTTAGCATAATCTGCTCTAATGCCGTCCATTTCCCTGCAAATGCCATGATTTCTTTGTAACCTCTAGTGAAGTTTTCGTTTCAGATACTGTACATTTTAACTCCAAAATTTCCATTGGGTCTTCCTGTATCTCTTTGCTGATGTACTCATTTGCTGAAATATTGTTCTCACATTTTCTTTTCTTTGCATATTATTTATGTTAGTCTGAACATACTTACAATAGCTAATTTAAAGTCTTTGTCTAGTAATACAAATATCCAGGATTCCTCAGCTAAAGTCTGTATTACCTTCCTTTTTTCCTATGTATAGGCATGTTTCCTGTTTTATACATGTCTCTTGATATTTTGTTGGAAACTACATTAAATAATATAAATTTGCAATTCTGGAAATCAGAATTTAATAGAGAAATTCTATTTCTCTGTTAGA